CGTCTTAGAATGTTAAATTCTAAGAAAAATCAAAGGTGATTTTTCTGAGCCACTCTGTAAGGTATTTCTTGGAATATCCTTCCAAGGAAATGAAGTTTCACGTGTTTCCTTTCTTTTTCAGGTATGCCCCAGAATGCTTAATTCAGTGTAAGTTTTACATCGCCTCTGACGTCTGGTCTTTCGGAGTGACTCTGCACGAGCTGCTCACCTACTGTGATTCAGACTCCAGCCCCATGGCGGTAGGTTGGGTTTGTCTTCATTTGAACCCAGCACCCAATTAAGATTTGAACATCCTCTGCTTTGTTCTTAAATAGAATCCAATCGGTGTATAAGTGTGTCGCTTTCCATTTAGCTTGGTTTATTACCTGACACACTAACTTGTGGCTCTCTCAAGTACTGCTTTCACAAGGAGCCCAGAGTTCTCTAAGGTAACTCTGACTTTCTTTTTATTTTTTAATCCTCACCCGAGGATATGTTTTTATTGATTAGAGAGAGAGAGAAATAGCAGTCGGTTGCCTCCTGAATGTGCCCTGACTGGGAACTGGCCCCACAACTTTTTGGTTTCCAGGATGACGCTCCAACCAACTGAGCCACCTGACCAGGGTAACAGCCCTGACTTTCAAGGGTCTCAGCTGTGTGAAGCAGCATTGGGTCAGGGCCTCCTGTGTTCCCAAAGGGGAGCGTTCTCCTTAGGAAGGCTCCTCGACCAGGGGGAGGAGTGGCTGGTTGAGCCTGAGAGGTTTGCAGACTGATCAGGGAGAGCTAAAACAGATTTTGGACTCTCATTTACAGTTACTAAGGAGAAAAGCCTTTTTATTATTTTAATTTCCAGTTAATTCTAGAAACTTCACCTTAATCGATCTGGTATTTATATAAATATGTGCACAGTAAAGAATTTTGTTGTTTTTTTTTTTTACTTACATAGTTGTTCCTGAAAATGATAGGCCCCACTCATGGCCAGATGACAGTAACAAGACTTGTGAACACATTGAAAGAAGGAAAACGTTTGCCCTGTCCACCTAACTGTCCAGAAGAGGTATTTTTATGGGTTGGGCCACTTCAGTTACAAAACTCAGTTTTTATTATGTTTTCACAGCTTGAGTTACCCAGCAAGGGATGGGGGGGTAGGAAGAGCAGGAAGGAGTAGAAAACTCCTTTAAAATGATTTTCTGAAGCTGAAGCTGAATTTCAGATATTTGAGAAAACATCCTTGGGCCAGATGACAGCCACAAATTATGTTGAAAGCAAGGACTCCCTCCAAAAGTAGACTCACCACCGAAAGCACCCCAAAGGAGCGTGTTCTGGTGTAGCCTGGTTGTGACAAATACATGTAACTGCATTTTACGTAGAAGTTCATCCCACTTATTAATAGCATTTATGACATTCAGTTTCTGTATTCTAAAGTGAACTGAGCCCTTAAGACTAACTCATACACTTTTCAATTCACCTTAGTCAGAGTGAAGTATCTAGTGTAGAAATTTAGAGCCTAAAGTGAGATGTAACTTTACCCTTAAATTGGTTTACAGTATTAATGACCTAGATTTTTTTGAAGGTCATTTAACTCATGAGCTTCTCAAATGTTAAAATATTTATGAACTAGAGTTGTGACATTATCTGTATTTAAAATTTTTCTAATACTCTTGTTATCTAGCCTTACTTAAAGTCATTCCAATTTTCCAGAATTTTCTTACTTTTGATGTGTCTGTAATTTTTTATAAAGCTCCCAAATCTAACAACACTTTGCTGTTAATGTGTTTTTCTTTTTACAGGTTTATCAACTTATGAGAAAATGCTGGGAATTCCAACCATCTAATCGGACAACCTTTCAGAACCTTATTGAAGGATTTGAAGCACTTTTAAAATAAGCATGAATAACATTTAAAACCCACTGTGTATGAAGTCCTCCCTTCCCCCCAACAAATACCCAAGCCAGTTAAAAAATTTTTAACGGAAAAACTGTTTTCTGTCTAAAAAGATACTTGGGTATGTATCCATGTTTAAGGCACACTGTGGTGCTGAATATGTGTAAGTACTTCCCCTTTATTTGTCACTGTGTTACTGGTGCCAAATTTAACCACCACCAAAATATTAGAAAGCACTCCTCCTCTTGGAAAGGCTGTACCGCTATCCCGTGTGGCCAGTTCACCATCGTAATAGCGTATCAGAATGGGATTTTTCAAAACATCTAGATGACTGCTTTCTCCCACCTGCCAGCTGATTTTAAATGTTTTTCTGGCACATAAATCAACTATTAATGGCCTTAGTCAATACTCTAACATGCCCTAAAATTTCATCATCTATATACAGTGATAGACCAAGCGTTCTTGAAATATTAGATACCAGTTAGTAGACTATTGTTTCTGTACAAAGGTGAGTGTATTCCTGTCACCAGTAGAACTTAAACTTTGAGCTGTTTCTTCAGTGGCTTAGCTCCTGTCCCCTTGGATGACCCGTGGTACCCAATTTCTTTTTCCTTTTTTTTTTTTTTTTTTAAGAAAACTGATTCTACCCAGGGGGAGAGCTGTGGAATAGATCTTTGCTGCATGATGTTCATTCTTGAGAACTAAGCCTGTGCCAGTACTTTCTGAAACAGTTTACCTTTAATCAGATTTGAGTCCAAGAACCTGGATGCTATTATACATGCTTTTAAGAAATGTCAATATGTATATCCTTTTATAACTCTACCAGTTTGGGGCGAGCTATGCCAGCAATGGCTTTGGATGCAGTATGCAACCAGTCAGAATACATACCGTATACCTTGCACTGTTTCATAGAGATTCAGTACTTAGCGACCATCTGTAAGAGTCGATCACTATTTTGGCCATCACCCTATGGCAGTGATTTTCAACCTGTTTCATCTCATGGCACACAAGCTTATTTCTGAAATTCTATGGCATATAAAAAAAATACATTCTTTGCGTATCTGACTTAAAAAATTATAATTTTGATTCATTCACACTGAACAACTATTGTGTTGGCTGTTGTCATTTTTGTATTTGACAATCTAAAGGAAAAGAGGTCAGTGCCCCTGACTGAACGGTCAGGGCTTGCATGCTTTAAAAATTCTTGCAACACACTGGTTGGAAATTGCTGCCCCATGGTATAAAACTTGAAAGATCCCGCTAGAAGCACTATGGAGTTCTGGATCCACTAGAGTTTTGCTTGAAATGCTGGGTGATCGAAGATGTCTACTCTGTGATTCAATGTGAACCATACGATCTTTATGACCAAGAGTCTGAAAACCAGTTAATGCTGTCTAGCATTTGTTTGACATCATTATTTTTCACCTTTTTAGCCTGAAAAGGGGATCTGGATTGATTCAATGGCAACAATAAACTTGCCATTTAAACTTGTTCAATAACCCTACATCACCAATGTGTCTGCCTGTGTCAAACCTGTGGCCATTCTATATGCACTTTGTTTATTACTCTTTATACAAATAAATATACTGGAGACTTCATTCACATGCATATGCCTTTTAATATTAAGATTCCATTTTCAACGCATTTCAAACAATTTGTTTACTTAGAAAAATAATATAGACTTTGGGAGGGTTGGTAATGGTCCTTATTACTAACAACACTTGATTTGTACTTATCTGTTATGTCCAGTGATAATGGGGCACAGGGCAATACAGATGGCAGATCCACGTGTGCTGTAATCCAAAATAGCCTCTCTTTCAACCTCTTCCCACTTCCATTTTGCAGCTCTCAGTTAAAATTCACCTTCCATTTGTACAATCACAGAGGTGTGACTAAGCACTGAAGATGCTTAATGCAACAGGAAAATAGGAAGAAGTGCAGAGCATGGAGAATCCATTACTCATCTGCTGACTCACAATTGAGTGATGCCTGTCCTGATCGGTTATTCATAGGTAGTATACTTCTTAGACATTAGTTTAGTCTTCTAGCTGTCATTTCCCAAAAGAAGTTAATATATGAAATAAATTAGACCAAGTAATATTCTTTACAAATCATACAACATATGCACCAATTTTTAACTTCATAATTAAGACAGGATACCTTTTATCATGGTCAAAAATAATAAGTCCCCCAAATTACAAGATATTTAACGATCAGAGTTCAAAAAGACTAAGATCATTGAGACCCCTAAACTCCTTGTCATCAATTACAGTCTCATAACAAGGAACAAACTTAGATATATTTCTAGATGGCAAAAGGTTTCTCATGCATTCAGTACAAAGTCTTCAGGAAATGGTGATGTCAAAAGTTATAAACAATTTTTTAGCCTAACATACTACAAAAGAGTAAGAGAGAAAGCAGAGAGTGAGGTAAAAGCTTATTAGCTTAAAATGGTTATAAATACTGTTACTCCATAAGACTCTTTCAGAAAGGGCAGAATCGACTACTTCACTATAATACTGCGGAAACAATGCATTCAGTGATCCAAATATGCCCTGTTCTAGTAATTAAATCACTATTTTATGCCATGGAATGAGACAGAAATGTATGTTCCTTGCCACTTAAAAGTCAGCTGCAAAAGTTAGTTCTTTCCTTAGGTGAAGTAAAAGGATTAGGGAATTAGTACTATTAGATCAGGGGTCAGCAACATTCTCTATAAGCGGCCAGATAGTAAACGCGTGCATTTTGCAGGCCTTCTAGTCTCTGTCACAACTACTCAGCTCTGCCATTGTAGTACAAAAGTAACCTTAGACAATATGTAAGTGAACAAGCATGGCTGTGTTCCAGTAAAATTGTGTGTGTGGACACAAATCTGAATTTCACATAATTTTAAAGTCATAAAATTTTCATTTTTCTGCCAACCATTTAAAAATGTAAACATTCTTACCTTGTAGTCTGTACAAAAAACAGGTGGACTGAATTTAACCCCAGGGTATGGTTTGCCAACCCCTGAGATTAGGTTGTCAAAACTACTTCTCTTAAAATACCTTGTTTTTCTTCACAAAAGGCATGAATGGTTAATAGCAGATTAAAAGTAAAGACTGTGGTAGTGCACACCTGGACGTCACTATCACTCTGTGTGGGGTTTGTACTATATGGCTGGTGTGGGAGTTACAATTTAGTTTGCATGGAGAGCATTTTTTTTAACATTACCATTGCTGCATTTTTGTACTCGTATTCTTATAGTTCTAAGAAGTTCTAAAAATCTATAAATGAGATTACTTCTAGGGAACGTAAATAGAAATGCACATTGGCTTGTAAGAAATTCATTCTTCTAAGGCCCAGGAAACAAGATCGTTTCCTATTTATTGCTTCAAAGTTTTATATATGGTGTCAAAATGATTCCCAGTTCTAAAACAAGGAATATTGTTAATTTCTGCAGTGGACTATAACTTAATACCGCATTAATTAAGATGCATCTAATTCTAGTGGAAAATGTCCTCGATTGATGTCTCTTCTTATTGCTACTTACTTTTTTTTTTGGCAATTTTGCCTGCTGCACAACACAGTTCCTTCTGGGAAATTATAAACCCGTATTTAAAGGATATGGGTAGTATGAATGTAATTAAGGCAGCGATGAACAGCAGAGTTACTGCAAAGAACCTTACGAGGTTATATAAGGATAGAACTTAACTCAGTATACACGCTTCTTTTTTAAGTAGGTCTCCATGTAATATGCTCCTGTGCCCTGAGAATGTTGCTCAACAAATTCCACGGAACCGCCTTCTGGGGCAGAGATGAGATAAGATGAACCTCGCTTTTCATTTCTTAAAGATGACACCTATAAGAAAAATACATCATAATTAATGCTAAAATCTAAATTATAGTTGGTTTATTAAAGGTGTGTATAAGAAAATCCCTTCTACTTCTGATTTGGTGTAAAAACAGAACAGCAGGGGAAATAAAACTATCAAACAACTGCACAAACTTTGTTAAACAGATTTTTAAATTTCTATTAAAATCATCTGTAGAACTTCTGCAAATTACAGACCAGTCTCTGAGTGCCCTCTCTCCACCACCATTTTGGGAAAAGAGAAAAGATGCGGCAGTTGCTTCTGCTGTGTCTATTTCAACCCCTGTGAATCAGAACATCCATACCTGATGGAAGTATTCTCCTGAGGAAGGAAAGTGGCTAAGAAATTGAGCTGCTTATCAAATGAGATGTTAAGTTCAGCTAGTAATAAATGTCAAGAGAACAAACTAGTAGGGGTAAAAACTGGCCAAAGATGTCAATGAAAACAGCAAGGATGAATTCTAGAGGGCAGTGTGAATTCAAACTTTAGAAAGAAATTTAATGTTAAAATGTAGACTTCAGTTGTACCACAGAGATGCTGACCTGAAAGTGTTTATGATAAGGCCAAAATGTTCCTCACGAGTCATCACAGTAATCAATGCAATAAATCAGACTGTGTAGCACAACCCTGTGAGCTCCTAACCTCTCTTAGATTTAGCTTTTACAAATACCACCTGTGACAATCTTGCTGAAGCAGAATTACATATCTTAATATACAAGAATGTAGAGATGACTCATAAGGCAAATTTCCACCAGTGCATTAGAGTATTACAATTAAAATTACAATGGTCACAATTTTAAAAATGGGGACAGATGATGAGTCTGCAACACCTCCTCGTAGATCAAGTTCTCGTTCATGTAAAGGGGAGGGACGTGGAGGTGCTGACCAGCATACAGATAGAGGAGGCTACTGCATGCCCTCCTTCCGTGGACTCACCAAACATTCAGCTACACATGGAACAAGTTCCTCTGAGAGACATCCCAAAACTAGTTGAATTAATACTACGCACTGGACAGAGAAAATAAATGCCTACATAGAAATGGGTAGGAAAGGCTAAGACAGACTTGCCATAAATCCCACCCCAGCACAGCACCATACAATTGGGAGCAAACCTCCAACCTCTAGTTCTGAGGAGTGAAGGGGTTTGGACTTCACACCTAACTGTGTCAACTTTTAAGGTTCCCCCTACTGGAGGGATGAACTCTCAAAACACTGAGCTCTGAAATCCAGCAGGTATTCATGGCAGCCACAAGATACTGCAAACAAGCAATTCTTAATGGATTAGAGCAATCACTGTGCCATTCCTCTCAATGCGGGGGGACCAGGCAAACTTATCTCCCAAGTCTTTCCCTGAAAGAGGTTTATTTCCTATACCTTAAAAGCTACCGTCTCAGGACCAGTAGCAGGCCCTAATCTAGCAGGCCCTAGATGCTAGCTGTGATTGTGCTAGAGACCACATCTTCCACCTTCTTCCAATGTGCTCCAAGTCATGAGTATCTCTGTGGGCGGGGCTTGTATACACATCTGTGCCTGAGCTTCTATGGCTGCCACCCAAGGGATGTCCCCAGATTACCCAGCCTTGATAGTCAGTGGGCTTTCACTCATGAGTCCCACAGGACGGTAACAATTTCTGACAGGCACAGGAGCAACCTCGCCCTTAGCCCCACCCCAGTGATACACACCTGGGCCCAGTACTGAGAGCAGACAAAAATGCCCATCTATATTTCTCCCTGCAAAGGACTGCACTACATAATTTCCCAGCTGCTGCCTGAGGAGCAAAGGAAATGTAAAAGAATCAGAAAACAATTAACAGAAGTATATACATATCAATAATTACTTTACAGGTAAATTGATTGAATTCTCCAATCAAAAGATGCAGCGTGGTGGCTGAACAGATTATAACAAGGCCCATCTATATGGTTCTACATAAGAAAGACTCACTTCAGATGTTAGGGGGCACAGGCTGAAAGTGAAGGGATGGAAAAATCTTCCATGCCAATGGAAACCAAAAGAAAGTTGAAGTAACTATACATATGTCAGACAAAACAGGCTTTAGACAAAAACTTAAGAGATATAGGAAATTGTATAATGATAAAAGAGTCAATCTAATAAGCAGTTAAAAAGTCTGTAAATATTTATACATCCAACATAGGGGTGCCTACATATATAAGGCAAATACTAACAGACCTAAAAGGGGAAATAATAAATAATAGCAGGGACTTTGAATTTAACACCCATATTTCATTTCTAGATACATCATCCAGATGGAAAATAAAAAGGAAATTGGTCTTAAGCTACACATTAAAACAGATGGTTCTGACAGACATACACAGAACCATTCACTCCAAAGCAACTTAATGCACATTCTTCTCAGGTGTATATAAAACACTGTCCAAGATGGAGCATATGTTAGGCCACGAAACAAGTCTCTAAGTTTAGGAAGGCTAAAATCATATCAAGCATCTTTTCTGACCACAATAGTATGAAACTAAAAAACAATTACAAGGAGGAAACTGAAAATTCACAAATATGTGGAGAGAAACAGCATGCTCCTGAACTACCAATGGGTCAAAAGGGAAGTCAAAATTTAAAAATATCTTGTGACAAATGAAAATGGAAATACAACATACCAAAACTTATGGGATACAAAAGCAGTTCAAAAAGAAAAGTTCACAGTGATAAATGCTTACATTATGAAACAAGAAACATCTCACATAACTTTACACTTCAGAGAACAATAAAAACAAAGTCCAAAGTTAGCAGAAGGAAGAAAATAAAGATCAGAGCAGAAATAAATAAAATAGAAACTAAAAAGACAATAGAAAAGATTAATGAAACTAAGCTGGTTCTTTGAAAGAGAAAATAGACAAACCTTTAGCTAGACTCACCAAGAAAAAAAAGATGTTACAAATGATACAAGAGAAATACAAAGGATCATAACAGACTACTATGAACAATAATATGCCAACAAAATGGACAACCTAGAAGAAATGGATAAATTCCTAGAAAAACACAACCTACCAAGACTGAATCATGAAGAGAGAGAGAATATGAACAGGGTGATTACTAGAGTAAAGAGATTGAATCAGTCATCAAAAACCTCCCAACAAACAAAAGTCTAGGACGAGCTGACTTCACTGGTAAATTCTACCAAACATTTAAAGAACTGATAACAATCCTTTTAAAACTCTTCCAAAAAAATACACAGGCAACACTTCATTTTTTGAGGCCAGCACTGTACCAAAACCAGACAAGGACAATACAAAAAAAGGAAATTACAGGTGAATATCCTTGGTGAACACAGATGTAAAAGTCCTCACAAAAAATTATTAGTGAACTGAATTCAACAGTACACTACATGGATCATACACCATAATCACGTGGGATTTAATCCAGGGCTACAAGGATGTTCAACATTCACAAATCAATCAATGTGATGTACCCCATTAACAAAATGAAGAATGAAAATCATGATCATCTCAATAGGTGCAGAAGAAACACTTGAAAAAAATTCAGCATCCTTCCATGATTAAAAACTCTCAACAAAGTAGCTATAAAGGTAATGTACCTCAATATGATATAGGCCACATGTGACAAGCTCACAGATACCTTACTCAACAGTGAAAAGCTGAAAGCTTTTCTTCTAAGATTAGGAACAAGACAAAAATGCCCACTTTTGCCACTTTCATTCAACATAGTTTTGGAAGCCCCAGCCAGAGCAATTAAGCAAGAAAAAGAAATAAAAGGCATCCAAACTATCACTATTTGTAGATAGCCTGATAGTATTTAAAGAAAACCCTAAAGAGTACACCAAAAAACTGTTAGAATGATTTCAGTAAAGGTACAGGATGCTAAATCAATCTATGAAAATCAGTTGCTTTTCTATTCACTAATAAGGACTATCAGAGAAATTAAGAGAACCTCGTTTACAATACAATCAGGAATAAAAAATACAGAAATAAATTTAAGGAGGTGAATATCTGTATCCTGAAAAGTATAAGTTTATAAACTGAAGAAGACACAAATAAATGAAAAGAGAGTCTGTGTTCATAGAATGGAAGAACATTGTTAAAATGTCCATGAACCACATTTTTCACAGAACTAGAACAAATAATCCTAAAATTTGTATGGGACCATAAAAAACTTCACATAGCCAAAGCAATCTTGAGAGAGAACAAATTTGGAGGTATCCCACATTTTTGATTTCAAACTATATTACAAAGCTATAGTAATTAAAACAGTATGGTATAAAACAAGAGGCACAGATCAATGGAACAAAATAGAAAGGCCAGAAATAAATCTACACATAAATGGTCAATTAATTTATGATGAAGGAGCTAAGACTGTACAATGGGTAAGGACAGTCTCTTCAATAAAAGAAAAGCCTACTGGGAAAACTGAACAGCTGCATGCAAAAGAATGAAACTGACCCCTACCTCACAGCATACATCAACATTAACTCAAAATGGATTAAACCCATGAATATAAGACCTGAAACTGTAAAGCTCCTACAGAAAAACATAGGCAGTAAGCTCCTAGACATCAGTCTTTGCAATGTTTTTTTATGGATTTAACCCTAAAAATAAAGGCAAGAAAAGCAAAAAAATAAAAAAGTAGGACTAAGTCAAACTAAAAAGTTCTGCACAACAAAAGAAATCAACAAAATGAAAAGGCAACCTACCAAATGGGAGAAAATATTTGCAAATCATACATCTGACAAGGGGTTAATGTCCAAAATACACATATATAATTCAACAGCATAAAAACGATCTGATTATATAAAATGGGTAGAGGATCTGAATAGACATTTTTCCAAAGAAGGCATACAAATGACTAACAGGTGTTTGAAAAGGCACTCAACATCACTAACCATCAGGAAAATACAAACCAAAACTCCAGTGAAATATCACTTCACATCTGTTAGAATTTATTATTATTTAAAAAAAGAGGGGGGGATAAGTATTGGCAAGGCTGTGAGGAGAAGGGA